TATTATAATTATATATATTATATTATAGTATAATATAATATAGTTGTAATTTTTAACTATCCACAGGAATTCAACTTCATAATTTACCAAACGCTATTACACTGATTTTGAAACCAATATAGCTGCTATAATTATAGTTTACCAAACACTCAATTACTTTTTGTAACAGCTGCTTTTTATTTCAGCACAACTAAAAGTAATTTTTTTCAAAATTTACAACACCAACAAACTAAGCCTAAGCTATAAAGCTTTAATTTATCAATACCTATATATGCCGCGTCAATATTAGACCTTAAAAACCCCACAAGAATTCTCGTGAAATTATTAATTAATGGCAAGAAAGAAAGAAAGAAAGAAAAGGATACTACTGCACTTTATATTAATTTACAATATATCAATATTACGTACCCGATTCCCTTTTGTTTTAGGGTTATTTGAACCACATATTCATTCAAGTTTACAAATTAAGCAGCACGATTCCGTTAATATATATGTTTTTTTAAGGGGTTTTTTTCCTCTTTTTTTTTTTTTTTTTAGTTAAGCGAATATTTCTTATATATTCTCCTTTTCTCTAATTTTTGACCTGCCGGATTGATGCACAGGAATAAAGCTAATGGAAATGTTAATTTTAAATTTTAAATCACCAAATCTTAGTGAACAATTTCATTTACTTGAACTGCAATAATGAAGATTTTTATGCTTTGTTTTCCTCTTTAATTGCTTTTGTGTGTGTGTGGAATTGTTGTCCTCTTTAACCGTGGATGAGCTTGTTTTAATGCAACAAACCTCACTATTGAAATGACATATGAAGGAATAATAGTATAATTATTCGGAAACGTATCATGTCCTTGCGTGCGTGTATATATATATATATGATCTATTTTGGAGTGCGATTTTCAGGTGTATGGTGGAGAATAATAAAAGGATAAGGATGTTCGGGTAATATACTCTAAAACAGAATAAGATTACAAGATAGAGAACCAAAGCCATCCAATGCATATTGACAAATTCGTAGAATTATTTATTATTTATTATTATTATTATTGGAATAACAAAACAAACAAACAAACAAAAAAGTAAAAAGTTGAAATCCAAGCCTTTTTAATGAGCGTTGTTCTTCCTCTCCAACTCGGTTTCAAAAGCCAATTCCCCTTGACAGTTGAGACCATCTCTCTCTCTCTCTCTCTCTCTCTCTCTCTCTACACACATGTACACTCATAGAGACAATTTTTTATATTGGTTTCAATGCTTAAACTCTTTGTTATCCCTCTGTGCTTCAATCTTTTATGGGAACATTCCATTTTTCCCCCCCTTGCTAGTCCATTCATATACATAGAGTAGCAAGTTCATCAATCTCAACGCTTTTATAGAGGCATAAACAGATCACACAAATACGTAAGTCCTTCGTTAACTCTATATATATGTATTAGTTATAAGCTTCAAATTAAGCCATTGATTGATATAGTACTACTCCTAATTATTTTATAATTAATATTGTTGGATATCGATATATTCTGCAGATTATATATCATCGAGAGAAGGCCATTGATTAATATATATATATATATATATATGGCTAGAAACGAATGGATAAATGGTTATTTAGAGGCAATATTAGACGCTGGCCGGAATACCACAAGGAAAAAGATCAATGAAGGAATTAATTATAATAATAAACTCAAAAATATTAATCCAAGGTTTGAAGGCGAAGACAAAGACAAGCTGTTTAGTCCCACCAAGTATTTTGTGGAAGAAGTTGTCAATAGCTTTGATGAGTCTGACCTCCACAGGACTTGGATTAAGGTTTGTTCGATATATATGATCTCCTCTAATTCTCTCCTACTTATAAATAAATATATGTATATACTTATATCACTAACTAGGGAAATTGTATACACATGTTATAGTTACGTCATCGTGTATTCATTAATTATATATTCATTTACTTTGTGCAATTTCTAATTAACACGATCTCCTTATCTTAACTCCTAATTAATTTTCATCAGCTGCTAAACTCCCAAAATTTTAAAACTACCTTCTGTGGCCAGGGTCCACCATCTACCACCAGTGTAGAATCCTATTTCGCGATATATATATATATATATATATGTATGTATATTTGCATATGAATAATCATGCATGTAAAGTATTTATCTTTACATTGTTAAAAAAAAAAAGAAGAAAATTCCACAAAGAATAGAATATTTTATGACGTTGGATTCAGTTCAATGAGTTTTTTTTTTCTTTTTCTTTTTTTTTTTTGTCCTTCTCTTTGAATAACAGTTTCATGAGTGTACAATTTTGGATTGTATATATGCTGCCACTTGCCTTTTACTAGCTGAAATACAATCCACTAAACACAAGTACGGAAGTAATGTTATCTCTGCCTTACCTGTGCAAAATAATTAGTTATTTCGTTAGAATATAGGACAAATATTTTTTAGGCCATTGATTTTTCTCTGTGAAAAAAGAAAAAGCACCAAGACGTGTGATCAGAAATGAGAATACATCCGAATTTTGTATGGCATTAATTTATATTTGTTTGGACCGATTGGCAAATTGGTCCTCTTGGTCGGGCCGGCCACGATCATATAATTGGTCCATTCATGGCGGACCACAGTACTGGTGGGGCCATGCTCATTTGAGAAAAAAGATAAATATTCAGTTGAAAATGGCTGGAAATATATATATATATATATATATTTATTTATATAGATAGGAGTACAGGAACAAAACGTTTAATATAATAGGTTGTATTTGTATTTTTGGCTAATATACAATATATAAGACAACCACATAGTATGATCTTTTAAGTGATCCCTTGTTTGAAACTCCAAAGACCTGCATAGTGAATAGAAAATTGAACACACACACACACACACACACATATACATATACATACATATATATATATATATATATATATATATTAAGACAAAGCATGGATATGCTCGAACTAATATTAATGGTCCATATATACTAATGAAACTGGAAATTAAGAAGTTGATCAAGTACTGCTTGGCTTTTTTGTTAAAATCAAATTCGGATCAGAATCAGATGTAAAATAACATGATTAGTTTGGGATATATTATATTATTTTATATATAATAACTTAGAAGTAGTTTATGGAGAAGGCATGAATATTGTGAGTGGTGAATATTGCAGGTAATAGCCACAAGAACCTCGCGTGAACCAAGCAATCGGCTCGAGAACATGTGCTGGCGCATTTGGCATCTCGCCCGCAAAAAGAAACAGGTTATCCATTCATCATCTTCTTCTTTTTATTAACAACTACTAATTAAACTCCATGCATATATACATAGCAGTACTGTATTCTTAATAAACATTAAATTAATTGGCTAAATCACATTAAAAAGATGGAAATGTATGTAAATCAAGAGAATCTATTAAAACAAGACCCTAGTGGTGGAGTATTTTCCAATCCTGCAGTAAAAGCCTCATCATTTTATTTATAAAACATATATATTGGACCATCCTCATTAACAAAATACATTATCAGATGTTTGATAATATTTAGATTTGGGCACTAATAAATTTGAGCACCATTATATATTTTCGTTGATAAGGTGATAATACATCATCAGTGCTGATAAATACATAGTAAGTTTTTTTTGTTTTTGTTTTGTCTTTTTCTTTAACTTGCACTTAATTAACTTTCTAAACATTTGCAACAAGATGCTTCTGTATGTACATATACACATGAAAATATGGCTAACGTGGTCATATATATATATATATATATATATATATGCAATTGCATGCAGATAGCATGGGATGACTCACAGAGGCTAGCAAAACGGCGGATAGAGAGGGAGCAAGGCCGCCACGACGCAGCGGAGGACCTGCCGGAGCTGTCCGAAGGTGAGAAGGAGTACTACTTCAAAGGCGGCGACGGCGGCAGCACCAATCCCAAAGACAAAGACAACGCTGCTGGCGCCGCCGCTTTCGCCCGCATCAACTCCGACATGCAAATCTGGTCCGACCAGGAGAACAAGTCCAGGCACCTCTACATCGTCCTTATCAGCATGCACGGCTTGGTCCGCGGCGAGAACATGGAGCTCGGAAGAGACTCCGACACCGGTGGGCAGGTCAAGTACGTCGTCGAACTCGCTAGGGCTCTGGCCAACACCAAGGGAGTGTATAGAGTTGACCTTCTCACCCGCCAGATTGCCTCTCCCGCCGTCGACTCCTCCTACGGCGAGCCCAACGAGATGCTCTGCTGCCCCGCCGACGCCTCCGGCAGCTGCGGGGCCTACATTGTCCGGCTCCCATGTGGGCCCCGGGACAAGTACATTGCCAAGGAGTCTCTCTGGCCCCACATCCCCGAATTCGTCGACGCAGCCCTGTCCCACATTGTCAACATGGCCCGAGCCCTGGGGGAGGAAGTAATGATGAACAACTCCAATGCCCCCACGATGTTAACGAAGCCTGCATGGCCTTATGTCATCCACGGGCACTATGCGGACGCGGGAGAGGTGGCGGCGAGGCTGTCGGCGGCGCTGAACGTGCCGATGGTGATGACGGGGCACTCACTGGGGCGGAACAAGTTCGAGCAGCTGTTGAAGCAAGGGAGGGTGTCGAGGGAGGACATAAATGCGACGTACAAGATAGTGCGGCGGATAGAGGCGGAGGAGCTAGGGCTCGATGCGGCGGAGATGGTGGTGACGAGTACACGACAGGAGATAGAGGAGCAGTGGGGATTGTATGATGGTTTTGATCTGAAGTTGGAGAGGAAGCTGAGGGTGAGGAGGAGGAGAGGAGTGAGTTGCCTCGGAAGGTACATGCCTAGGATGGTTGTTATACCTCCTGGCATGGACTTCTCCAACGTTACTACTCAAGATTCTATTTCCATGCAGGAGCCGGATGCTGATCTTAAATCCTTGATTGGCTCTGATAGAGCCCAATCCAAGAGAAATCTGCCTCCTATTTGGTCCGAGGTAATTAATTGATATATAAAAGTCATTGTTATATATATTGCACTTTAATTGATTTGTTAATTCATGTCCACTTTGATCAACTTTAATTTAATATATAGGAGATTTATTGATACATACTACATGAACCTAATTTAGGAATTTTGGTATTGTACGTATATATAAATATAAACATATATATATTTATGCAGATAATGAGGTTTTTCACAAACCCTCACAAGCCAATAATCCTTGCATTGTCGCGTCCGGACCCAAAGAAAAACGTGACTACATTGCTCAAGGCCTATGGGGAATGCCAAGCCCTTCGGGAGCTAGCCAACTTGGTAATTAATTAGTTAATTAGTTAATTCTACATGATTTTACATGCACAGACGCTGATAATTTGTGCTCCCGACTACTGCTGCATCCACAGACGCTGATACTTGGGAACAGAGATGACATTGAAGAAATGTCAAACAGCAGTTCGAGTGTTCTGACCACTGTGCTGAAGCTGATAGACAGGTATGATTTGTATGGACAAGTGGCATATCCCAAGCATCACAAGCAATCTGATGTCCCTCACATTTATCGTCTTGCTGCTAAGACTAAGGTAGTTATACATTCTATATATATATATATATATATAATCATACTTACAAAGGAAACTAACTTTGATCATTTGTTAATTCTACAACGTACGTACGTCTTCTGCTTTGCAATAGAGAATCGATTGCATGCTAACAAGAATTAATATTTTGATGCATGGTTGATTTGTGCATGAAGGGGGTGTTCATCAATCCAGCTCTTGTTGAACCTTTTGGTCTCACGCTTATAGAGGTCAGTCTCTACATCCGAGGAAAAAAAAAAAAAAGGAAAGCAGTAACTAGAGTCACTAATGGTGATGATATGTAAATCTTTTGCAGGCAGCTGCTTATGGCTTACCTGTGGTCGCCACAAAAAACGGAGGGCCTGTTGACATTCTCAAGGTAATCGAGGATTGATGATATACACATAATATAACATAAAGAAGAAATTTTTTTTTTTTTTGAGAGTTTTTTATAAGTAGCCCAAATTAAGCTCTAGATCGTTAGGTAATTAGGTTCCATCAGAATTAATTATATCAGGAGTAGTGAAGTGTGTTAGTTGTTGCACCTACAGACACTGAACAATGGGCTCCTAGTTGACCCTCATGACCAGAAAGCTATAGAAGACGCTCTACTAAAGCTTGTTGCCGGCAAAAACCTCTGGCTGGATTGTCGGAAGAATGGCCTGAAGAACATCCACCGCTTTTCCTGGACAGAACACTGCCGCAACTACCTCTCCCACGTCGAGCACTGCCGCAACCGCCACCCCACCACCCGTTTGGAGATCATGCCGATTCCTGAGGAGCCCATGAGCGACTCTCTTAAGGATGTGGAGGACCTTTCCTTGAGATTCTCCGTTGAATTGGGCGACTTCAATAAGTCCAATATTGACCAGTTGATGGATGCCACAACCAGACAAAAAGAACTCATTGACGCCATCACCAAAAGTAGGATTTCCTCCAACAGCAAGGCTAGTGGAGCCACTTTCTCTCCGGGGAGAAGGCAACGACTGTTTGTTATAGCCACCGACTGCTACGGTGCAAATGGAGATTTTGCGCCAAGCTTGCAGCCAGTCATAACCACTGTGATGAAGGCTGCAAGCTCACTGAGTTTAGGCGTTGGGCGGATAGGCTTGGTGTTGGTGACTGGTTCAACATTAGCAGAGACCGTGGAAGCCTTGAAACGCAGCCAAGTGAATGTGGAAGAGTTGGACGCTTTGGCGTGTAGAAGTGGAAGTGAAATGTATTACCCTTGGATGGATTTGGTGTCGGATGCTGACTATGAATCACATATCGAGTACAGATGGCCCGGTGAGACTTTGCGGTCCGCGGTAGCGAGGCTTGCCAGGGCAGAAGGCGCAGCTGAGGATGACATTCATGAGTGTGCTGGAGCAACTAGTAACAGGTGCTACTCTTATGATGTCAAACCCGGATCCAAGGTCAGCAAACTAATTGTCATGCTATGTATACAATCACATCTTGTCATCCCAATTAACAATTTAAAGCAATGATCATTTCTGGTGTGAAAAAATGGCAGATTCGAAGGATCGATGATCTTCGACAGAGGTTACGGATGAGAGGCTTCCGGTGCAACCTTGTCTACACTCGTGCAGCTTCAAGGTTAAATGTGGTGCCATTGTATGCATCAAGAATACAAGCTCTAAGGTTAGACAGACCCTATTTCTTGGACACAGAAGCTATTGTTTTTTTTTTTTTTTTTTT